TATGATTTCTCCTTAATTCTCCTTTGCTGGATCTTTGTCCAAGCCATGACTGCTAACTGGGTGAATGAACGTCAAGAGTCTAGTCTTGGCCCTCATCTCTTCTCCCTCTAAGCTCTCCCCTTTGGTAAACTCATCAGCTCCCATGGATTCAGTTCAGATTCTCAGACATGTTTATCCAGCCCTAAACTCTCTGCTGATATCTAGTCTCACATCTGTAGTTGCCTATGGGGAATCTCAACCTAGATGTCCCGTAGATATTTACAACATGATACTTTCAAAACCAAACTCATTATCTTTTCCAAAAAAAACCTCTCCTTATTATCATCCCTCTAAACTCCTCTTCTGAACTTCCCTTGTGACTGTCCAGGGTACCACCTTCCCAAAAGTTACTTAGGCTCACTATCTAGGTGTCTGTTGTCCTCAACTCTTCACTTGCACTCATCCCACCAACCAACCTATTGCCAAGTTTTGCTAATTCTAGCTTCACATCATCTCTTATATATTCCCCTTGTTCTCCTCTGACATAGCCACAACCCTGATACAGGTCTTTACCATCTCAAATTGGGAATTTTGCCATAGCCTTCTAATTGGTCTCTGCTTCAAATCTCTCCTCACTCTAGTCCATCTGTTCAGCTGTCAAAGTAACCATAATAAAGTGCATATCCAGCCATGTCACTCCCCTACCCAATTAACTTCAGTGGCTCCCTATTACTTCTAGGAACATCCATGACACCACCTAGCTTCCCCTCCTCACCCCCCAGTGAAATTGGGCATTTGACAAATGTTTTCTAATGATGAAGACTAAAATTTCTGACTTTGCTGTATGTGGGATCTTATTGAGATTGAAACCAAATCATATACTCTCTCTCCGTGTCTTCCCCAAATTCTTCCATAATGGTTCCATTTAATATGCTGGAGGCATTCCACTCATTCTTTTGACATTGTATGGATGTCAGTGGTGCACAGGGGCATCTCTATTGGTTCTCCCTTCCCCTTGCCATGCCCACCTTCTTTATGAATCATATATTTCTTTGATGGCATCCTATATGTTATTTCTCTTATGTAATTTTTGGTTGGCAATGGGTTGGATTCTACTCATGCCCACCATGCATCTCTCCACTGCCATTTAGGTGATCTTTAACCTCAAATCTTTGGAAACTGTGGTATTACATGACTCTTCACCATACAGATCTGGGTAATCTAACCAAAATAAGCAGTCCAAAATTGTTAATAAAAAGACACTCCATGCCCTACAATAACAAAAGCAAGAAGAGGATCTAATCTTTGTTCCCTGCCCAAACTCCTTCTGAACCACTTTGAACTGTTGAATGTTAAATTAAACAATGACATACATACTGGAAAGGAGACGGGGAAAAGAATACAATTGATGTGAGATTAAAGGATTTTTGCATGTAAACTTGCCAGGTACCAAGGAAAAATGTCCAGTTGTTTCAATATAACATTGGCATTGTGACAATGATTTTGATTAAGTTGCTATAGTTTGACAGTAATTGTTCTTAACTAGTTATCTGAGACTCTAGCCTCCCTTTCCAGGTTAAAGAAATTTCACCTATCATCTCCAGGAGTCCAAACTTTTAATAGAGTAACACAATTCTTGAGGGAGTGTTAAAGCCATCAAAGGAACATCCCTACCTGAAACCACAGGATGCTGTTGCTAGGGTTCACTGGGCCCTATAGTTTGGTTTTGGGAGATCTGAGCCCTTCTGCTGACTGTCTAGGAGTGTAGGAACCGGCCTCTACTGACACCATTTCCTCTCTTCCCTTTGTTTCCTCCCTGGAACCTGGAATGGTGGAAACATCATTTTCCTTCCCATGGGGTGCCTCCACTCTGATGGATTACTTCTCCCTTTGTCCTTTTTCCTAATAATTTCAAGGTGTTGTTTTAAAACTCAAGTTTGAAAAAGGAATTTTGTTATAAAGAACAACAATTTAAAGACATGAAGTGAAGGGAGGGGAGTTGCAGAGGAGTAACAATAAATATTTGAAAGGGGCAAAGAAAATACTGTATAGTACAATATTCTTGTGGTTTCATTTTGACCCTAAGCACCAGCTATAAAGTACTACAGCTACAACTACTAGCTAGCATTTGTATATAGCTATAATATTAACAAAGCATTTTACATATATCAGGTAGGTGCTATTATTATTCCCACTTTACAGATGAGGAAACTGAGGCTGAAAGAGGTTAAATGATTTGCCCTGAGACACACATTTACCAAGTCCTGCACTCTACCCACTACTCCACCTAACTGCCTACAAAGGTTCCTTGAGATCACCAGGCCTCTTCTTATTTCATTCTGGTCTTAGCCAATCAGGCAATAAACATTGTGTGTCATCCACCTAAGTTAATTGTTGGGATACAAAGAAAAACAAAAGATAACCCCTGATCTCAAAGAGCTCACAGTCCAATGAAGTAGCCAATGAGGAAACAGCTACTTACAAACAAGCTATATACAAGATAAATTGGATAAAAGCAACTGAGGGGAACTCATAAGAATTAAGGGAGAACAATAGGAAAGGTGCCTTATTATTAACTCTCACACTTCTTGGTTTAGATGACCCAAAAACCTTTCTAACCTTGCTGCTCTCAATTTATTTTTGGAATGGAAACCCAAGTCCTGAAAACAATAGCTCTCTCCTAAAGTCTGTCCAGTTTTGTCATTCATGGGATACTCTTTCTAGAATCTGACTGTGGACCTAGAGAAAAATCTTGACAATCTAAAATAGACATCACCAAACTATGGCCCTGGGGCCAAATTCAGCTGGTCTACTTTTTTGGGGAGGGGAGAGGGGGACCTGCAGAAGCTAAGAATGGTCTTTACATCTTTAAATAAAGTTTTATTACATTTTAAAATGAGAAAAACTCCAGTTCCTTACGAAAACAGGCAACCAACTGCATATTAGTATGCCTGGTCTAAAACACTGAGCAAATTCTAATACAATGATATTTAATAGGGAAGTCCACACTTGGATTTTTAAAGAGTGATTTTGCATAAACAAAATGGAGATGCTATGATAATATAGCAGTTTGTTTGAAGAAGGTCTTGGGAGTTTTGGTGGATTGTAAACTCCATCTGAATCAAGAATAAAATTGTTGCTGGAGTTGTTACAATAGTGTCTCACTCTCAGTGACTCCATTTGGATTTTTTTCGGCAAAGATACTGGAATGGTTTGTCATTTCCTTCTCCAATACATTTTACAGATGAGGAACTGAAGCAAACAGGATTAAGTGACTTACCCAAGCTCACACAGTAAGTGTCTAGGCTCGATTCGAACTTTGACTTCAGGTTCCCTCTGCTTTCTACCACACCTCTATAGTGACATAATAGCTCTCTTCAAGTTGTTGAAGGGGTCATTTATGAAAGCAAAATCAGACTCGTCTTAATAGGCCTCAGAGGACAGAACTAGAGCAATGAAGTACAAATTTCAAAGAAGCAAATTTAAGCTTTGTCTAAAGAAAAACTGAACACTTTAAAAAGTGTTTCTTGTCTTTGGAAATCTCTCAGGACAGGCCAAATGCTCTCTTGTTGGGCATGTTATTGAAGGGACTTTTCTTGTGGCTATGTGTTGTGCTGTATGACTTCTGAGGTTCCCTTCATCTCTGAAATTCTTCAGTGCTTGCTCAAGGTCACACAGATAGTCCACACAAAGTCAGAGATACAGACCCAGATCCTATAATTAGTTTTCCACAGTAGTATGCTCTCCTGTTTTCTCTTTTTCATATGTCTCTTCAAATATTTCAAGATAGCTATCATATCCTCTTCTTTTCTCCAGGCTAAATAACCTGCTATCCTTCAACAATTCTTTATTCAACATAGTTTCCAGATCTCTTGCCATTCTGGTTATACTCCTCTGAATGGGCACTAACTTGTTAATATAATGCCACAGGATTAAAAGAAAATAGATTGAGAGTTGGAAGAGAAAAGAATCCATTTAGTTCAATCTCTTCTTTTTCCAGATTAGGAAACTGAGGCCCAGAGAGGTCAGGTGATGGGAGTGAGTTGGAGATAGAATTCGAATCCAGGCCCTCTGCTGAGTAGCAAGGGCTATGCCATGCTGCCTACTTCTCAATGTCCTTTCCACTGCCTTGCTATCTCTGTCCATCCTGATCCCGGACTCTGCTTTGACCACTGCACTGACTCCCAGGTCTCACCCATTTCTAGACTTGTCTGAAGCCCAAACGCCCGCCTGTGCCTCAGTTTTCCCTATGGGAGAATTTTTTTTTTGTCTAGATTCTGCATGCTGTCTTTACTTCCATGCTTCCATTTAGGAATCTGTTCTTGATAACTCAGTAGATTTTCCAAACCCTCCTCAAAACCAGGTAAGACTATATGGTTTGATTTGGGCTATTTGTTCCAAAGACTTTTTTTTCCTGCTCTGACTGACATTTAAGTCATTAAAGTTACCTGGGGGTTAGGAAATACTGTTTAGGCTTTGACTCCAGAAAGCTTCAGATACAATGTTGACTTCTAAACACCCTGCTAGCATTTTTCCATTAGGAGATTGTAGGGATTCGTTTAGAAGATTAGAAAGTTGACACGCTAAGCCCCAAAGGGATGAACTAGAGAGTGATAATGAGAGTCGGCCAGATGAAAGACGAATGCAGTGAAAAGACAAGTTAGGGAGAGTTTGCTCAGCCTGGGAGCCATCACCGAAAAGGACTGGATGCCTGGTTTCCCGAGGAGGGATTTTAGTGATAAATTCACCTTAACAGTTTAAGGAATTGTTATCCTGCTCCACAAAGGAAGGGGGGGTGTGTGGAGAGAAGGCAGGAAACTGAAATCGGGAGTTAGTAACTCACTGACTTTGGGATACTTTGCTTGGACCGTGGAGGAAAAACTTCAGGGCTCTGTGGCAATTGAGTACAGATACCCTTTAACAGAGAATACCAGTACTTTGCCTCTAACAAATGAAGCAATACTGTTTTGCTCAGATCTCCTGATCCGTCTGTCTGGAGCAGCAGCAGCAACAGCAGCAACAGCAGCAGCAGCAGCAGCAGCAGCTCTGTCTGCACAACTGACTCTGCTTCCTAGCCAGCAATTTACTCCAAAGCTACTGATTGGCCAGACCACTGACAGAGGGCTGGGACAGAACCTCTATATATTCCTAAAGGAGGCAAAGGCAGCCTCAGACCGTGCTGAAGTTGAGTTCGGACACTCCTACCGTCCTGTTCACAGTTTGAGCTCAAAACACAGGAAGTCAAAATGTGCAAGGGACTAGCAGCCCTGCCCCACTCCTGCCTGGAAAGGTGAGAACTTGAGTTTCTTTGGCTTCAGAGGCTGGCCCAGTCAGTGCCTAAGGGGAGACAGGATCCTTAGGTCCAGCTGGGTGATTTGATGCTTGAGCAGAGGTGTAATTTGTGCCTGACTCAAAGCCATAATAAACTCTAGCATTCTCTTTTTGGAGCTAATGCCAACATGGACTTTAGCAGGGGGTTTTGAAGGAGAAGTAGAAATGGGAGATAACATTATCTCTGGGTTGGGGAGCTAGTGGATTTGAGAACACAGATCTCAAAGCTGGAAGGGACCTCAGAGGTCACCTTACAGATAAGGAAACCAAGGCCTAAAGTTCCACAGCTAGAAAGTATCAGAGGGAGGTTTGAGTCAGTTTTTTTCACACTGTACCAAACTGCTCCCTTTAGTAAATCACAACTTTCATATTTAGTAGCTGAGTGATCTTGGACAAGTCACAGTCTGTCTTCATCTCAGCTTCCTCATTTGGGTTTCACATAAAGGAAAACTTCCTGACAAATAGAACTTACCCAAAATTGAATGGGAGAGTGGGGTTCCCTTGCTTTCCTTTAGGTTTGATGTAAGGGTAAACTTGTGAACAAGTAGAGCTTATTCAAGTTAAATGGGAGAAAGTGGGATTCCCTCTCACTAGAGGTCTTCAAAGACTGAATGACCGCATGTTACAGATGATGGAAAATGGATTCTTAGTCAATTACAGGTTGGACTAGCGGGCCACTGGAGTAACTTTAAACTCTAAAAACCTCTGGCTGTTCTCTGTAAAATCTAACTTTCATTGGATCAGTATGAAAAAAGTGCTATATAAAGGTGGTGTCATGATCTTCCCTACAGAGTTGTTGTGAAGATCAAGTAAGATAATAGGGACTGTTCTTTGTATCCATAAAACCTTTACAAACTGGAGTTATTCTCCTTAAAGAGGGAAGTTTTCTCTCCTGAGAGAGGGAAGTTGTCTCAAGGTGAGTGGTGTTTGCTATACCGTTAAAAAAAAAAAAGCCCAGAAGAAATCCTTCTCTAGAGGAAATCCAGTAGAAGCTGGATATCCCACTCTTGAGGCTGACTTTAAAACAGAAGAGGCCACAAAGGTAGCTTGTAATAAGCAGACCCTCCATCTAGACCTGAGGAGGATTAATGATCACTCTTAGATAGCATCGGCTACTGGAGTAGCCTTTTGTCTAGGTAGCTAGATACGATTGTTTATTTAGCTGGCGTACTTTCTCAGGTAAAAGCAGCCACATACACCTCCAGCCTTGCTTGGGATTTGCCAGTACAATCTTCAGATGGGGAATGTCATGAGTTTGCAGTATCCAGATTTTATTCAAAAGCAGGAATTTAGCATTGAACTTATAGAAATTTTAATCCAATAGTCCTATCTGCCCCCAAGAAGCTGTGATATGTTGATGTATTTTTTTCCCTCCTTATTGTTCCTTAATTTTGCTTTTTAAAAAGTTGCCATCTCTAACTGCTTATAGAAAATGATATGTGATCTTGACACAATTTAACAATAACCATAAATTCCTTGACCATGTCTGTACAAGATTATATGAGGGTATAAATGACTAATAGACATTAAGTGCTTTAAGTTATTAAATCATTTGTATATATTAGTATATTATTAAATGGATGTTATAATTTAAATTGTTAAATACTTAATAGACATCCGTTAGTTTGTTCCATTCCAAGAGTTTAGCTTCGCCTTTTAAATTACTTCTCTCCCAGCAATATTATAATCACTTAAACTGATAAAATAATATAAGCGGCAGCTTGATACAAATAGGTTGCTGGACTTGAAGTCAAAAAGATCTGTGCCTGAATCCTTCTGACACTCCCTAGCTGTGTGACTAAAGATAAGTCATCTAACTTCTCCAACCTCAGACAACTTAACTGAAAAATTATAGATAAATTGTGTCAAGGTACGATTTTAAGTCAAGGGAGTTCCCATGCTGATGTAATTGTCAGTCCTAGATGAATTGATAGAATAATGGATCAGTTTATTTCCAGGCAAACTTAGTCACTTCACCAATCTTTAAAATGAGATTTATCAAGGTTCAACATATATTCTGATATGTTTTGATACTCTTGATCCAAAATTATAATATTATTTGATATTTAAATTATTAATTCAAAAAAAAGCATTACATAGCACTTATGTACCCTTTCTTAAAAGATCAAGAGGTAGTGATTAAACCTTGTGGATTACTGAGCTAAACTCGGACTGAGTAAGGAGTTCTTGGTTCTCATCCTGACTAACTAACATTATCAACCTTTACCTCTATAACAGAGATAATTAGAGCAGCCTTTTGCACTTAGTGTTGGTGGCACTGCTTTCTTAAACTGGTGGACAGCTTTACGCAAGCACATAGGGATTAATTTCGAGGTTGAAAGTGTCTATGCTAATATACTTATTACATTAAGACTATACAAATTTCTGCCTTCATTGATGCAGGTCCTAGGATCAAGTCTTAGAGGTAGAAGGGACCTTGGACATCATCTAGTTCAACTTTCTCATTTTATAGATGAGAAATTCCAAGACCTGAAAAGTGAAGGTGATATACTGAGTGGAGTTGTGATTTGAACACAGTTCTTCCAATGCCAAATTCACTACAGAATAACTTTAAATAACTACTCTCCTTTGCCCTTGTGATGAAGGCGGTGATTCTGAAGAAAGCTGTGCTTGCAATCTGACCAATCTGGGATCTTATCTCTGATGATAACCTGTGTGGCAAACTCTCAGTTTCCTAAAACATAAAATGGAGATAATCACACCTGAGGTTACTATCTCACAGGCTTCTTGCTTAGTAAACCATTTGGCAAATTGCAGCTATCATTTTTATTCCTTTTACAAAATCTGATAGGTGTTGGTTTTTTGTGACATACAAAGATTTATAAATAAATACGTAATATGTGTTACATTAATTATATTATATAAATAAATAAACTCTTTGGACCTCAGTTTACAAAAGAGGAACTCTGTAAAATGAAGGCATCGTGTGAGGTTTTAGTTTTAAGGTTTAGATTCCTTTTCAACTCTAATCACCAGAATAAACACACTTGCTGCAAAGGAGCAGGACATGTGGAGTGAAGAACAAACCAGGGGGCATGAGTTTAAAGTATAAGTTGTGGTCCTTTGATATGCTAGCTGAGTGAGTCACTTAACCCCGTTTGCCTCAGTTTCCTCATCTGTAAAAGGAGCTGTATCATTGCCAAGAAAACCCAAATAGGGTCATGAAGAGTCAGACATGACTAAACGACAACAAGTAACCAAAGGAATGAATGTCAGAAAGAATTTGTAGTTGGAAAAGCCTGGGTTTGGAGTCCAGCTTCTAACAGTTTATCCTCTCAAGTCTTACGTTGCAGATGAATTACTAGTTGATATTGGCAAAGGAGATATCATGGTCTTCCCTCTGGATCCCAACCCCTGCCAAAGAAAGAAAGGAAGAAAGAGAGAGAGAGAAGGAGGGAGGGAGGGAGAGAGAGAGAGAGAGAGAGAGAGAGAGAGAGAGAGAGAGAGAGAGAGAGAGAGAGAGAGAGAGAGAAGGGGGATGGGGAGGGGGAGAGAGAGACAGAAAAAAGAGAGAAAGAAAGAGAGAAAGAGAGAAAGAAAGAAGAAAGAAAGAAAGAAAGAAAGAAAGAAAGAAAGAAAGAAAGAAAGAAAGAAAGAAAGAAAGAAAGAAAGACAAGGAACCACAGGACTCAAGTTAAGTTGTAGCCTCCTGGGTAATCAGAGTCAGAGCAAGAATAGACTAGGGTCTCAGTACAGGAATAGGGGAGGGAAATCTGATGAAGCATGAATGTTAAGGATGGAGAAATAGAGGATTGTTGAATGATGTTAGAGTTAGCCTCAAGCCTAGAGTATAGCAGCAGGATAGAGTTCAGATTTTTATTTTTTGGTTGGTCCAGACCTGTTATTTTATAAACATAGGGAATTAATTCTCCAATGATATATAATAATAGCAGCAACAGTAGTAGTAGTAGTAGTGGTGGTGACAACAATAAAACCAACAGCTAGCATTTAGATAGCACTTTAAAGTTTGCAATCCACTTTACCGATATGATCTAATTTTATCCTTACAACATCCCTGTGAGGTAAGTGCTATAATTATCTCTGTTCTACAGATGAGGAAACTGAGGCAAGCAGCAGTTAAGTGAATTCAGCAGTGAGGTGGCACAGTGCCAGGCCTAGAGTTAGGAACACCTGAGTTCAGATATGACCTTAGAGATTCACTAGCTGGGTGACCCTGGGCAAGTCACTTAACCCTATTGATCTTCATTTCCTCATCTGTAAAATAAGCTGGAGAAGGAAATGGCAAACCACTCCAGTGTCTTTGCCAAGAAAACCCCAAATGGGATCATGAAGAGTTAGACATGACCAAAACAACTGAACAACAAAAAACTTCCTGACTCCAGGCCTGGCTCTCTATCTACTGTGCTCCTTTGCATGTATAGGGAATTCCTTCCAGAGATTCAGATCTGCAACTTCTAGTCTTAGAGAGTTGTCTGAAGCACTGAGTGACAAGTGATTGATTCAAGATCACACAAGGAAGCTAAAGAATTTGAATTTGAACTCAGATCTCCAGACTCCAAGTCCAAAGCATTTTCCATTTAATCCCTCTTCCCTCCTAGATCGTTGGACTGGCTATGCTATGTCCAGAACCCTGTGAAACTACATGTGCAGACTCTACTTTACTGCATTTTATGCAAACAAGACTGCAGTTCTATTACAGAAGCAGGGGAAAATTATGGGGGAGAAAGGGAAATAGATTGCTGGAGAACAAAAAAGAAACAAGGATATGAAGAGATGAGAGAAACTGCTCAATTAAGGTCTTAGAGTTTTTGTTGTGTTTCTGGTTTGTTTTGTTTGAAATAAAAATGTTAGGACAGTGTGATGGGTAGCACACCTGTACTTGCCTATTAGGAACTTTGATCAATCAATTAATCAGTCAACATTTATTAAGTACTTACTTTGTGACAGGCAACTGGCTAAGCTCTAGGGATACAAAAA